TGTCAATTAGAAAATAAATTTTGGTGGTCATGGTACACTTATAGCTTTGATTTGCAGAATTGTTTTGATCAATTAACGTTGCAAGCATGAAAGTATTTATTTCATTCTGGTTTGCTCAGTTTGTTATGAGAATGTAATTTGATTAAAAGCTTAATAAATGGTTTAAAAAAAACTAAATTGAGAGAACACAATAAAGGACTGTATGTAGACTTTCATCTTTTTCTACTTTTTCTTCAAAAACAGAAATTATAAAGTCATTTTTTTTTTTTCTGTTTTGGCATGCTTCTTCATTTATATTCCCAATCCCCACCGCAAAGTGAGTCATCCTAATGGCAATAGGGACTAAGCAGGGGAAATTGAATCAAACACACAAAGCGGGCATTTCAACTTTGGGATGTCTTGTGGAAAATAAAAAACAAATGAAATTTTTATTTCATTCTATTTAAATTTTAAAATCTTAGTCACAAACATTTAAAAAATTGGTTTAAATAAATTATTAGTTTTATGATGTTGCAATATGACCAATGTGGAGAAAGTAAGTACAATGTTGTTATTCTCAAAATAAGAAACACTCATATCTCAAGATTTTGTGATATGTCATTCTATTAAATAATCCTGTGGTATGACGCAATTAAGTTTCATAAAAGTTAGCTAATACATTAACCTGGAACCCAATATTGAATTAAAAATGGGAAAGGTACCCCTGTTTTTTTCTGTGCGAAACCTTAAAATGTAATTCACTCAACAGGAATGACCAACTAGTTTTTTAATTTAATATTTTGTATAGAAATGTTAAATGCAGCTTGTAATTCTCTTACTGATTGAAGTAAATTTTTCTTCAATAGGTTTGATATGTTTGTGTAACTATGGCCAATGAACAAATCATGTAAACCTAAAAGAGGTGCTTCCCTTCAAAGAAATGTTTGTTGCAATGTTTCAAGTCATTTAATATGCAAGCTATAGAGTGGAAAGCAAACTAAGGATGCAGATATAAGTGCGGGACTATGAAATAATATTGTTCTCCATATTAGTTTTTAATCCAATCCTTGATGCATTCTTTTAACAAATTCAAGTTTCTAATATGATTTACTATTTTAATCATTATATTCATTGAAATCCATGGTATTCTTCATAATAACCCGCAGATGTTTAAAACATTTTTTTAGCTATAAACCACTACTAGTATCAATTTTTATAAATTTTAATGTTAAGTGAATTTGATTCAGAAAAAGAAATTGAAGCACATTTTTCTTGGTTGAAGAAAATATAGGTTTTCATTTCTTTTTTATAGTTTTTCCGTGTCTTATATATCATAAATAGACTTAATGATCATATAGAATTTAAAATCAGAGCAAAAACAATAAACAGAAGTGTACTTAGATGGAAGCCCCGGGGAATTGCCAATAATATAGTTCTTATATGTAACATATTATTTTCTGTTCTCAAGACATAGCAAACAAGTTATGCAATGAACCATATGTACAAAATTATTTTAATTTTTAATTAACATAACGTGATTGACTATGTCAAACACTTTCAGGGGCAGTCCGTTTTAAGTGGCCCTGCAATGGTCACTCAACCATCTCAGAAAAAATTCGTAAATTCTCTTGTTTTAGTTTTCCAAAATAATTTTTAAAAATGTATTGTACATGTTTCACAATTGGCAGTCATTTTTGTTTTAAACTGCTCCTCAGTTTTGGTGTTTGTAGACATTTAAGGTTTGGTAAACTTAGCAGCTAAACAGCGCAAGATTGTAGTTTATAAACCAAAATGTACAGCATTCAGTAAACTCTGGCCAACAAATCAGTGTGATATTTGCCAATCTAGTGTGTTTCTATTTAGCTAATATTTGCAACCAAAATTTGATTTCGATTTTCAGAGTAATTTTTCAAAGAAGGAATAGTCTTAATTTTCTCTGTTTCTTTTATGCAAAACACTCTACTTACTTTAATTACAGTTTATGTATGTAAAATACCAATTATAAGTAGTGTACTACTTAAAATTTAACCTTCCTAAACATTGGAATTTTGGATTCTTCTTCCAAATTTTCATTTGCAGTATCTCTGTTGAGAGATGTGATAAAAATTTTAAATGTGCGCAAGAAAAAGATTGCTGACATCAAAATGTGTAGATTTCAACTTTAAGATTCAATTTGAAGAAGGTTTCAAAAAATTTGTAAATTTCCCCCCAAAATGCTTCATTTTCACACGGGGGAGAAGAGACAAAGAGTAATGGTTTAATGTTTTCCAACCATTTTGAACTTTAATCTACCATGCTCTAAAGAAATGAATAATAATTTATTATAAATAAACGTAAAAATTGCCTAGTATATAATTTTTTATTCTGATTTGAAATGTTTGACAGGATCAGAAAGAATTTCCACGAAATCATTGAAAATAACTTGTGGGACTCAATAAAATAATAGCAATCATTTTGTGGGTTCAATTTGTGGGTGCTGTTTTATCTCAAATTCATGAATGATTAGATACTATTTTTTGTTACTAAAAATCTTTTAAGACCAATGAATAATAAAATTCCAGTCATTCACATAATAATGGTGGGGAGGTCTTAAGGTTTGAGTCCCAATGGTGGCAGGATATTTGATACTAGCTAAATAGCAATGTCAAATTCATCTACTTTCTGGAGAAGAATTTTAGTGGATGGCTTCTCAGATCAGTGATATCTCTAATCAACATCGGCCGAATGCCAGACCAGTACCCTAATGAAAGGGCGAAGGGCCTCGCGCTTTGGTCCTTCCCTTCTCGTGTCCTATCCTCACCCCGTACTTACACCCTCAGTTACATGCACTACACAACCACATGTGCCGGAAGTCCAGTCGGGAACTTAGAGCTTGTCCCGACTGGGGGGATAGCCGCTAGTGGGAGATACTGGTTGAGGTAAACCCCATTAGCCGATGTGTAGATTGATGCTGAATCTCTCCATTCAGTGGGGGAAGATCACCTCCGCCTCCTGCGGAAAACATGCACTACACAGCACTACACAGATGAGACTAATGACCTTAGATGTTGACATGCCTGGAATCACTAATAAATCCAATAATATAATGAAATGAAACCCCACTTACTGTCATTTACAAAATGTTTTTAAGCCTGCTCAACTCAGTGGCTTGCAAAGTGGCCACAAGCTATATCACTCTCTTCATGAGCTCAGAAATTCGCCTGTGAGCTGCTTTCTGTCAGGAAGGAGGTGGACATCTCTGAACTGCAGCGGAAATGACTTTAGGAGAGGATTGCAGACCTGTTGAATGCATATAGCCATAGGCTTTGGGGGCAAGGTACTGGAGCTATACAAACTATCATGTGCTCTCCAGTCTTTGTATGGGACACTGCACAAACAAGCAAGTCACTGCAAATAGAAATAAAAAGCAATGTATTATGTTAAGTGATCAATGCAACCAGGGAAGCGATATCGAACTTGAAAATACTCTTAATCTTATAATCACTCAATTCATATAACAATTGATTACTATTGATGAGTTTGGCAACAGAGTTTTTTCAACAGGCAGAGTTATTACATTTTTTTACGAAATAAAAACACAGAATCACAAATTTTAAATTTAAAAGTGTATGTTTTTTATTGCCGAAAACTTTGGTTGAAAAATATAAAATTTTAAATTTAAAATATGTGATTCTATGTTTTTATTTCCTAAAATTTGTTTAATAACTATGTCTTTATTACATAACTGCAACATTATTGTAGCTTCACTATACACACATTTTGTTGAGCACTCATTTTGCTAGTTGTGTTAAGAGTAGAGCCTGTGGCAAAATTTATAGTTTTCAAACATTGCTAACCTCACTTTTTTAGTACTTTTATTTATTATTCTAGCATGTTTAGTAAAAGGTTGGGGAATTCTGGAGCTCAAAAAAAGTTGCATAAGTTTACACTTCTGCATACAGTTTTTGCTATACTTTGATGAAAAAAAATCAAAACAAATCAATTGCAGCTTCTTTGAGATAAATGAAAAATATCAACCTCTAAAAATTTTGAGAACATGTTTTTTTACACATTTACACAGCTTTTTATAAAATTTACACAACTTTTTATAACATGACATTTTCAGGCCTTTGTAACTAATATTTTTATCAGTGTAAAACAAGGGAAAATGTATGTTTTGTTTTCCATGCCAGTCTTTCAGACCTGGCAAGTTTTATCCATGAAGCTGACGAAGGTCTTCTACAGCAGATTGGTGAAGGTGATTATGCAAAACTTGTCAGTGTTATGGGGTATCTTTTGAATGTAAAAGACAGGCAAGCTGCCACAGATGAAATGTTTGAACCTCTGCAGAAGACCATTGATTTATTAAAGTATTATGATCAAGAACTTCCAGAAGAGATTAATGTATTATTGCAGGTATCTAATTTGGTGTTATTGTCTAAATTGATACCACAATTTTAGAATCAAACATTGCTTGCATGGTCATTTATGTAATAAAGGAATTTCTTATTTAGGAAATGCCAGAACAATGGAATAATACGAAGAAAATAGCTTCTCAAGTGAAGCAGTTGGTGGCTCCTCTTCAGGCTGCAGAAGTTTGTGCCATTCGACAGAGAATAAATCGATTTGATAATCGCCAAGTTCAATATCGACATATCTTTAAGAGGAAAAGGTTTTTCAGGTAAGTATCATAGCCGCTTAGGCTTTTCTTTTACAGTGATGTAATTGTATGAGGTTTTTTCTTCTTTCTACCAAAGTCCTCTTATCTAATATGCAATTCAGTGAATAGTTTTTCTAATTTTCAGATATGAGTGCAAGAATTCATATAAACTGTTGGACAAAACTGATAGAGAAATAAGAAAACACGAAAAGAAAATGATGAAAATTCATGATTCTGCTTCTCTGTTTGAAGTCAATGTCCCAGATTTCAAGTTATTAAAGCAATGTAGAAAGGAATTACGAATGCTTAAGGTTCCTTTCATGATAATAATTTTTTAAGTATTAACATTGCAGTACAATAATTATATTTTTATATGTTGCAGCAACTATGGGACTATGTCCAAATTGTACAAACTTCAGTTGATGACTGGAAAACTACCCCATGGAGGAAAATTGATGTTGAGAATATGGAAATAGAATGTAAAAAATTTGCTAAAGAAATAAGAGGTAAGTTGTTTAGAAATATCACAGTTATTTGGTATCATGACAAATGATCTTTATGCAATCATTGTCTCTTATCTTAAATATCATTTATTTAAAATATTAATATAAGTCCACTTTTCCTCTAAAGCTATGGATAAAGAAATGAGGTCTTGGGACACTTACATTACGTTGGAGGCAAATGTCAAAAATATGCTCACCTCTATAAAAGCAGTTGGTGAACTTCAGAATACAGCTATTCGTGAAAGACATTGGCAACAACTCATGAGTTCAACAAAGGTTTGATTATAATGACGCAATTAGTTACACTATTTTATGTTATAGAATTCAGAATGTATTGTGTGCAATTATATAGATCATTGCAATTATTTTTCTTTTAAGATTTAAAGTTTTCTTCAGCAATATCAGCCGATACGTTACCATTTGAAGATTAGTTACTTAAGTATTTTAGAAATATTTCAAAATATATCTTAAGTAAATGAACATATACTTTAATTACAATTTACAGAAGTAGACATTTTGAAACCTTATGCAAGTGTTATCACAGCAAAATAACTATTAGGGGGAACTTGAGAAAGTATAAAATTGTTTATTAGCTAACTTTTCTAAAGCATCTGAAACAGTCAAAAAAGAAATATTTTTACATAATAATAATAACATATGTTATTTTTCTTTAAAAAATCTTTTCAAACAATTTTCTTAAATTTTTATTCAAAATCTTCACTGTGATATTATGTAAATTGGTATCATAGTATTATGTAATCTCACTCTTATCTTAGAATATGTTACTTATGAGTGTAAATATCATAATAGAGGGAACTGGGGACTTGGTTAAGAAATGAATGTACTAATTATTTGTAAGCCAACATATGAAACATTTATTTTCATCATGTAGAGACATACATACCTACAATTGAATAATATGAATTTTTCAGTGTATTTTTGAGCAAAATACTTCTTGCACATACACAAGACAACTCACACTCAGTCACCTTATTTTAGCCAGCATCCTATACCTAATACCAATATTAGCTGGATAAAGTTCAAAGTGCAACTTTAAAAGCACTTAAAAATATATATAGTACTAATAACTTACATTTTTTCAATAATTTAAAAAGCAATTTTGTCTTCATTAATATTTTTAATGACACTGTGCAATGTTACACTGTACAATGTTACATTACACACTATGTGTGTGTGTGTGTGTGTGTGTGTGTGTGTGTGTGTTTTACGTGGGCAGGGGAAAATCTTCTAAAGACACAGCGGGCCCCGCCAACCCGCAGCGTGTGGGATTCAATAGCTAGCTATGCCTACCCACTAAAAACCCCTCCCTTTCCTCCTATTCCTTCCCGCGGAACCGCCGTCAGGCATGTGGCTCGCGAACGAAAGGAAGGATGGGCCTTTTCGCACGTCACCCGAAATATTACGTGGAGTCTTTCTTTTTTCGGTAACTGCTCCTCCGGAGCGGAGGCGTCTTCAGGGGAACCTGTTGCGCATAGGATGGCAGACCACACTCCAATATCTTGGTGTCAGCAGCATCCTAGTGACGATGGGTCTCAGGGGCACTTCCTCCTCTTGGAGGGAGTCTGTGAAGTTCTGTTCCTTCCACTGCGAAGCGTGGACAAATGAAAAGAACACCGTGTTCTAACATCTTCAAATCACCGGGGAAAACACCTTGGGCATGAGTGAAGCTATCGTCCAACCGGATCTGGAGCTGATACTGCCCGGTACATTCCATTGCCCTGTCAGCATCTGAGTTTAGATAAAAACTCGTAATTCTTCGCATGTCCCTTCTGTAATCCAGCGTTCATGAATGTCGGGGAATGACCCGAAATGTCATCGCCCGAGTTGATGATTGCTTCCCCATGCGGCGTTCCAGTTGGTCCATTGTCACCCCCACTCTCTTCTTTCTAATGCGTATTCCAGTTTGAGGCCCCCTCCCGCTTGCGCAAATAGAGTCTAGCTCTCTCCTGGGCCGCAATGAGGTTCGATCGGAGGCATATCTGCTAACACACACACACATTCATAGGATAACGGTGCGAAAAAACGCTCGAGCAACCGCAAGCGGACCTTCTATGCCACGACTTAGCCCAACGGGCGTAGAACTGAATTGGCCCATCGCATCAGCCCAAACAGGCGGCTGCGTAGAGAAGAATGGAATTTACTACGCTAGTCAGCAGCCTCCGGCTTCTTTGCCCAGGACCCCCTACATTAGGCCATAATGCGTGCCACAAATGCGGATCCATACGAGATGCTTTCTCGGAGACATTGCGCAGGTGCCTCCGTCAAAGCGCAGTCTTCGGCGTCAATATGCCACTCCCAAATACCTCCAGGGACAGCCTGCGAGGATATTTGGCAGGCCTCACTACATTAAGAGTAATACTCTTCCTCTCAAGACTTTTCTGCCCGTCACCAGCGACAGCCTCTGTTTTATGGGCGGCCATCTGTAGCCCTACCGACCGTAAGCCACCGCCGGATCTCGTCACAGCCTCGTTGGCAATTGCGTGACGTTGTTCGATGTACTTTGCCGACAACGACAATGCTGCAAACACGATCAGCGAATCCAATGTCGTTCTCTTGCCGCCTTCCGGCGAACTCGAGCTTCGAAAACCACGGCGTCATACCATAATGTTCCACACATCGGAACCCAAGTACCACGGGAGCCTTGTGGGACACCGCCTGTGACCGTATAAGATTGTAAGCTCCAGACCCAAGTTCATATAGGAGGACCTCTCTCCTTAAAGTAACTTTTTTACCCAAGTTCGAGATGTACCTTGAACTCCAAGAGTATTGTAGGCGCAGAAAGAATGGAAGCTCGCACTTGCAGTGGTTAAAGGCGTTTTTTCACGTCTAGGGTCACTATTGCACAATACTGTTCATAGGACCGCCTTTCCATCGTTTGCCATCAATGGCCTTGCGTGCCGATGCTCGGATAGACTAACTTAATAGCATGCTACCGTGGATCTCGCGTTTTCTAAAGCCCGTACTGTATTAATCAACAATCCTTGAGGCCCCTCTCTAGAAGACTCAATTACGATTGTAGATAATCCGCTCCAACACTTTGCCCTGCTGTGTCCACGTAACGCATAATTGGGCCGATATTGCGCCGGATCAGGTAGGTGGCCTGTCATCGCGCCTTCGGAGAAGGACCAGCGTGTGCTTGCTTCCTCGACGGGGGGAAAATCCCGCTCTTCGTATGCATGCATTATATGCGTGCACCAGAATAGATGCGGCCGAGTTTTAATAGCCGGGTGTCTTAATTGCATCATTTGGTACCCCCCCGTCTAATCCGGGGGCTTTGCCAATCTTTGGAGCCCTTGCCCAAGCTCTGGAAAGTTCATCCAACGTGTACTGCCGGAACCTCGCTTAGATCTCCCAGACAATCCTTCGGTTGTAACATATCTACCTGGCGAGGAAAACAAGGTAGCTTAAAAACTTTTCCCCAAGAAAACCGGGCAAGTGGGTGGTCGCCTGCAACATACCCCTGAGTCTGGCCGTCACCAGCTATACGGCGTCCCCAGGGGTCAGCATCCACCTCCTCCTAGCTCTCTCCAGCAACGATACTTACATATAGGCTAATCTTTGGAATTCTTCTGTTGCGTTTTTCTGTGTTTTGCCGTTTTACTATTTTTTCCTTTTTTTTCTTTTTTTTTTTTTTTTTTTGTCTTTTTATGTTAGTGGGGCTATCTTTGGGCGTCCAGATGTTGCTTCTTGAGAACATTCGCTAGATTTGGGCGGCTCAGGCGCGCTGTGCCAATCTACGTGTTCGGTGGCAGTTCCCCTGCGAAGTTCCGCGATCCTCGTCAGTCCACCAGTACACTGGGAAGGACGGCGTCTCTCCTCCTGCGACTTTGTCATTGACGCAATCACAAGCGTCAAAATACCGTTCATAACGGTTCCTACAATATATCAGAGTCACGCGGCCAATATATCTCAGGGTTGCCCTCCACATGGCCTTTCAACAGTTTCTTCTACCCCTTTGGTGAGCGCAACATGCACTGCTCTTTCACTTATACACAATAGCTGGGTGTCACCTAATGTGTATAATGTGCACTAACCTCCCATGATCAATACGGTCTAGCAATGCTTTTACAAGAGCGAAGTAGGTTCAAACGACCAGAGCTGCGACCATTCATTACAAAAGGTCGGACTGGCCCCCGTGTTGCAGCTAGTGGCAGAGTCATCCAACTGTCAAGGCTGTCGCAGGAGAGCCACCCCGCGCGTAGGTTCGTTACTCTCGGCTGCGCCAACTGCGTGGCCTATGCGTTGAAGTTCCCCAGCAATAATAAGACAGGCGCTTCGTTCTCGTCGCGTCATCTATTTAAGCCGAATCGAGTAATTCCTCGAACTCCTCAGGAAGCGACTGCACTGGGTGCAGCATAAACACTATAGAAATATACACCGGAACCCCTTTGATCCAAGTGATCCTATCCCTTGGGACTGTTGCATTAACATCCTGACTGGCACCTATACCCACATATCCATTACTGCAAAGCCGGTTAGTGTCGCATCCGAAACCCAGGATGAGACCGACAATATTTCTGCATGCGTCGCAGAGTATTGCAACATCTATAATTCATCTCGCGCATCACGTCTGGGTGAGAAGGTCCTGGGCCGCTCGCAATGATTTTAATTTAGCTGGAGAACTCTCATTTTCTGTTATCCGTTGTGCCTTCCTTGCTACTTGGTACGGCCGGACACGTAAAACTCCTGTCGGGGTGGTTCCTCCTATCTTTGGCAGTAGCCACACACACCTCGTCTCAGCGCTTTTTGTGCAAGCCTGACGTAAGTGGCCGGTTCTTCTCCGCATCGGTGACAGGCATTTTGACACATGTCCGTCCCTTGGCAAGTTCGCGCGCGCAGATGTCGAACGCCAACAACCGACTAACACTTCCGCACAATACTTTCTGCTCTAACGCGGCAGTTTACCACCACAATGTGAACAACGGCGCGCTTCCTCCAATCCCTGCTCTGGCTAGTTCCGTCCGCTAAACGGACCACCTGCAGTTTTGTGCCCTCTGTAAGCCCTCCCGTACAGATATGACACTGCTAGCTCAACAGGTGATTCAGTTCCCTGCTTACCAGCTTCACAGACTTCAGCCGCCGTTGTCAGCTCTTCAAGGTCGCGATCTCGAAGGTCCGTTTCGGTCTCCTCCGGTCGTTACTCTTGCTAAACTCGCCCAGTTTTTTGGATTAGCTTCAGATATCTCGGGAGGCTGCTGCACGATTTCCCGCAACTCCAGCAGCAGATATCCGGCTGCATTCCTCCTCACCTTTGCACGTTTCTCACCACATCTTTCAGAGAATGGGTAGCCCTTGATCTGCGTTAGAATATAGCATAGGGAAGGGCCTCCGTCATTTGCCTTAACATAACAGTTCGGGGCGAAAGAGTGCGCTCTCGGCGCGCCTCCGTCCTTCTCTCCTACGACAGCCAATCATTGCTCATTGATTTTGGGGTCGTGGTGTCTTCAATCAGGCGGTTGTGCAGTGCCTGCAGGACTTTCAGCATGTTGAATGTTCCTTCCCTGCACCGACTCTGATAGCTTCTTCTCTGCCCACTCCGTAGATTTCAGCGGTTTCCTCTTTCCTCGACGAAGTTCGTCCACACCGCTAACTGTGGGACCGCAACTCCCGTCGCCGCTGTTCTAAGGGCCCACCACAACATCAAGCATTCGGGCACAATATCAAGAAGTCTGTGGTGAAACCCTGCCGTCGTCGCCTCACCGTCTTAGGCCAATCACACCATTAACTGCCGGTTCGCACCGTCGCGCCGCCGAGCGACCTACCACGATTCATCCCGAAATTCCGGCGCCAACACTCCGAACGATCAGCGCTGAGTCCGTGTCCGCGGCCTCAACAGTCTTCGCGGCCAATATACAATTGTTCCCGTAGGCTTGCCACCTCGGTTCGAGGCGCTTCAGAAACCATCAGTATTCAGATCGACACCCCAATGTCTGACGGTGAGTCTGCGTCTCCGCCTAACTGCTTCAAGCTAATTACAAAGATAGTGACTCCTCCAGTCCCACCAATCTCATCAAAAGTCAGATCGAACTGGAACTGACCATACGCTTATTCTCACCCGTGACATTATTCCTTGGCAGGACAAAATGCAGGAGATCCCCCATCTTCTTCCCCAACTCCAGAAACTTCACTCTCCATTCTGCTTCCGACACACTTGTGAGCTTGGCTCCCCCCAAAATCCATGGAGCCGGCACCGACTATCGGGGCTTTCAACCCGATCAGAATCGGTGGCGAGATTCAGGGCGTCAACGCTCGACTGCGCTTGGGTAGTAAGTTTTTGAAGGCTCACTATACCCATACTGCTTTATTTCGGGGATGACCCTTCCCTTAGCGTTTTATATGCTACCGGCCAGCAGAGATGGTAATTGGAAGGAAGGTGAGAAGGGAATTTTCGTAGGGATAGGGAGCAAGATCCATAAGCTCTCAGGTCCACCTATTGGATCTTGCGGATGGGAAGGAAACTAGGTGGGAACAGTAAGGATATTAGAGGGAAAGGACAGCGGACAGCTGCTCCTTTTAGTCGCCTTTTACGACAGGGGAGGTCCGTGGGCGCTATTCTACAAAAAAAACACCGGCAACCACACAGGGTGTGTGTGTGTTGTGTGTGCGCGCGCGTGTGCGCGTGTGTGTGCGCGGTGTGCGCGCGCCGGTGTGGCGCGCGCGCGTGGTTGCGCGTGGGGTGGGCGCGTGGCGCGTGCGCGTGCGCAGCGCCGGCGCGCGTGTGTGTGTGTGTGGGGTGCTGTGTGCGGCGCGCGCGCCATGCGTGCGCAGATTGAAGATGTGTTTGTGTGTGTGTGTGTGTGTGTATAATATATATATAATATATATATAATATATATAATATATAAATATATATATATATATAATTATATATATATATATATTTAATTTTATTATTATTTTTGAGGTTCAACATGGATTTTGCATGTCAAGTCCATTCTGCTTTCTCAAGTACAAATTGTTCTTTGTTTTCTCTCATCACTGTCATTCTTCTTCGCATCACTTCTTACTCAGTTTTCTTGCACCACTCAAATCAAACTTTCTTGTTAATTTGAAGATATAGAAGTATTTTTGATTTGACACTTTTGAATTATGAAGAAATCTAGACATAGAAATTTCTTTGAGAAACAGATTTTCTTATTTTCTTGCAATTTGTGATACACTGTCTTTCACGTGAAATTTAATGTTTTTATGTATGCACAAATTGCAGGATTACGTTTTATTAATATTGCACAATTCAAGAAAACTTTTCTTCACTTCTCAGAAACCTCTCTTGGTTTTTCTACCTTTTCTCATATACTATTTTTAAATTATTGATTTCTTCTTTTCACTATGAAAATGTTCTTTCTCTGCACTTTTGTAAACAGAGTATATTATTTTCACTCGGCTTGTGCAACTCAAAAGATGCAGCTACAGATACAGTATTAATAAAAACAATTGCTAATGGCTGACAATTTGGATAACCGCATCAGGAAAATTGATAATTTAAAAACATGCGACTTCATTAATTAAAAATATTTCTAACATCAAATGAAAACAACTGGTTTATGGCAAGAGAAGGGTATTATAAAAGTTTAGACATAATACAATGACAGATATCTATTACTATAAAATAGGTTGCTTTAACAAAATATTCAATTAAAATAATGAAATATGTCAAATTGTGTGTCAGAACAAGAATTTGAGTTGAATTACTCATTATCTTTTTTAGATATGTCCATATTGAAAAGAAAGCATTGAGAAAATCATGTCATACTTTGTGTTGTACAGGTCTAATTTATGTAAAGCAATCAGTAGACCTCCCTGCCCCTACATCTACAAGCATTTACACATATATTCAATTTATATGATATATACATACAATTTACAATAATATATTAATTTTAATGGAATATATAAGGTTCAGAGAAGAGAGAATAATTGCCTATTATAAGTAAGTTAAAAATAAAATAAACATCAATGATTTGATAAAAAATAGTTTTGTGAACATACTATTTCATTATATATGTTTTAAAACAGTGAAAAATTAATAAATATTCAGAGAGATAGAATTATAAAAACTTCTTTCTGATTTGTTGCTAATTCCTATAGTTTATAATGTATAAAACTTGCCATTTCAATATACATGGTGATATAATGGATATGGGAAACTACTGTATTGCTTCCTTTTTCAAATAATCTTCTTAATAGGAAACTGTTATCTAGCAAAACTGTTTCTTGTTGAAAAGTTTTAATTTAAATGCAACAAAATTTTCTGATCTCCAAAACTTAACCCTCTGTCTCTTTCTCTTTCTTCCTCTTCTGTGTACTGTCTACAAATCCTGTGATTGCAACACTTGCTGCATGCTGCTGCAGTCTTTAGCTGCCCTTCCTCAGGAAGAGACAGTAAGTACCCTGAAACGGCAAAGTATGTAATCCTCACTCTCATTTTCTCTTTTCATCCTGCAGGGATAACAAAAAACTTTCCTTGAAGTTGGGTAGGTGTTCTTAATTACAAGACTTGACAAAAGGATACATTTTTAGATGCATTAAGGAAACAGGAAACAAAGAATTGAGGCATTTTGATGATACAAAAGATGATAGAGGGATAATTATCATCACACTTGTAAGGATATACCAAAATTTTATGTACTCATTTTTATTTTTGACTGATTGAATTTAATGAAATAAGTGATGCAGAATAATTCAACCAAAAATCTTAATTTCAACTACCTATTCTTGTATTTTCAAGGTTAATTTTTGGAAAAGTGGATGTGGATAATATTGCACAATTCTTAAAAACATGTGTTTGCTGTTGATAGCTTTTTGAAGTAATTTTATCAGATCATCCTGTAATTTAACAAGATTTTCTGCTCTGTGTATGAAAGAAATACACATACAAAAATAATAGCAATTAATGAGAAGGTGTAGTAATCATGGATTAAAATCTTTATTTTCAAAATAAATTATTCCATAAGAAAAGTGTTTAATTTCAGCAAATTGGATTTGGGTATATTTTTTCAAGATAACTGCAGGTTTGAATGTTCTTTGAGCTTTCATTTTAAATCTGCATGTATCTGGAATAGATGGCAAAAGTGGGTATTTCACATTTTCTTTTCAACAAAGTTGTAATGCATATGAATATGTAATGCATTAATGAAGGATATTTACCTAGAATGGTAGTAAAATTTGGACAATTACCTGTCATCCATAATAGCATGAGTTGTAAAAAGCCAACTTTAATATGATATTCTTTGAAAAATTCCTGTACCTACATTAATTGTTGATTAGTTTTTAAATGAGTTTGTTAATGAAAAGTAACTACTTTCTCTTCATCATTTCTATCTTTATATTTGTGTTGCTGAATTGAGGGACCTCAATAGATACATTTAAAGTGAAATGTTTCTTGTCATCAAACTGTTCTTTTGAATCCAATGTTTCCTATCGGAACCTTTCCTGTGATTTATTGATTATGAACATTGAAAATCATTGATTATCCTCTTTTAGTTTTGAAATTGTTTTAACATGTTCTCTTCTGCCGTAAAATTGTTTAAAATGTTTTTTGAATAACGAATGTCCTATCTTTGTGTGCCTAGAATTTTATTTTACAATTTTTTACCCTCCATGTGATATTTTATTATGATTTTTAAGTATTCTGATGTAAAACTTTTTTGATTAAGCCAATTTGTATTTTACACTTAATTTTAGAAGTCTGCTGTTCTATTTTTTTTTAAATTGAAATGTACATTATTTTAAATATATTAATGTGAAAAAAGGTATTTGTTTTAAATGAAGTAATTAATAATTTTCTTCATTTACTTCATTTAGATGATAAACATTCTTCTCTGCAGTTGGAACAGCTGGTAAAGAAATCTGATTTCTGTTAGGAAAATATTGGATAGAAGATATAATGCTTCAAAGAGAATAGTGTTTCAAATATTTTATTGTTATTATATTTTCTCTCTCATTGAAACAAAGACTTAATTTGTTTGAATGTACCATTTACCATTTACAGGTGCGTATTGTTATGGATATTAGTACAACTCTTGCTGATCTCCTAGCTTTGAATCTCCATGAATGTGAAGAAGAAGTCAAAAATATTGTGGACAAAGGTAGAATAGACACCTCCTTATAACATCATTTATATTAATTTGTGTCAATAATGGTTGAAAAATTTATTTACATTCATGTTATAGCTGTGAAAGAAATGTCTATGGAAAAATATTTACGAGATCTTGAAAACACATGGTCCAAAATGGAATTTGATCAAGAGTTTCATGAAAGAACTGGATGCACATTGCTTCGTGCTAGTGAAGAACTTATTGAAACGCTAGAAGACAATCAAGTGAGTAAAAGTTATACTGTCCAAATTTCAAATATTATCTTCATGATTAATTTACATTTAATATCATTCATTGTTATGTTAACTTAAAGTTTTTTTTTAACCCTAAAAATATTGTTCTTGAATGCAAATAAAATTTACTCATTAATAAGCTCTGAATTAGTACTTAAGCTCATAAGGTTTACTGTAGAACATAATGGGTCTGATAAAAATGACATTTTTTCTAAAATCATATGAATTGCACATTTATTATGTTTTTTATGGTATTTTAGGTGCAGTTGCAGAACCTGATAACTTCAAAATTTATAGCACACTTCTTAAAAGAAGTATCTGCATGGCAAGGAAAACTTTCATTAGCTGATACAGTTATTACAACATGGTTTGAAGTTCAAAGAACATGGTTACATCTTGAATCTATTTTCATGAGTTCAGAAGATATTAGAAAAACACTTCCAGAGGACTCAGAAAGATTTGATCGTGTTGATTCAGAATTTAGGGTAAATAAAATTCAAGTAAAAAGTAAACAATTGATTATTGCTATTGATCCACGCAAAATTATTTTTGAAAATGAATTCAAAACACAGTAAATCTTACTCAATGCAGAATGTGTATAATGTGGGAATCTGTCTTATGTGAACATAAACCATGATCCTTACAAACATAAATTCTGCAGAATTACATTGCATAATGTGAAATCTTGTCAAATACAGAGAAAAATATTGGTTCCTAGAGATTCTGGGTTGAGCAAGTTTTACTGTAGTATAGTTTGTCTTCCATGGGTATCTTTAACTTAATGAAACTTATATTATCTTTTTATTTGAAATACTACTACTATTACCACCACTATTAATAGTAATAATAGTAGGCTAATAATAAATATAAATCACACATTTGCAGGTCCTTTTAATAGAGATAGCAAAGACTCCAAATGTTCTTGAAGCAACAAATAAAGATGGTGTTAAGAAACAACTGGAGAATTTGCAGAAAGAACTTACATTGTGTGAAAAGGCTCTTGCTGAATATTTAGAAACTAAAAGACTAGCATTTCCTCGATTTTATTTTATATCATCTGCTGACTTGTTGGATATTTTGTCAAATGGCAATAATCCTCCAATTGTTGCACGGTAAAATCTTGTACTTGTTTTAAGTATTTTCTAGTTCAACTATCATTTTCAAACCTATATTTTACTTTTTATGTTTGAGCTAGTATGTTAATAGATATTATATGCAGAATGTGATTAGAACAGATTTTTTATTATTGATATGCTTAAGAGCTAATTCTCCTTTAATTTCTATGATTTTTTAAAATAATTGTTTTTCCTTCAAAATTCTTTAAGAAAATTGCTCTATACTATAACCTAACTGACAAGCTAGAATCGAAAATTCTGCTACTGTCTGGACTCGAACCCTCAAATCTCCTGGTCAGAGGAACTGCAGTGACATCAGATGATGTCCTGAGCCAACTTTGCCTGTCCCAGAGACAGCACCAAATTTTTTCTTTAAATTTTCTATTCTTATATATCAAAAGATAGTCTTCTTGTCTCAATTTCGAAAATTGCAATAAAAAAATTAACAATGCAAAAGCAAAATATTGATCATTGAAATTTTTTTCTTATGGAAAATCTGTTCTAAAAAGTCAGATCTTTAAATAAGGTTGGACACTAATTTTTTGGCGTAATTTCTGCTTGAATTTAACATACTGAATTTCTTTTGGAGGGGGGAGAAGAAAAATAGAATAATGTGAGTAAGTATCTGCTGTTGTAGATCCACTAGTTATGAGTGGTAAAAATCGAAAATCTTGGAGCAAGTTCAGATGAAAAATAGTAATGAGCATTATTGTTGCAATTCTTGTATAGTTGTAGATTCAGTAGAGTTATTTTTATTTCCAATTAATGAAAACAAAAAAATTATTATTTCAGACATCTTACTAAACTATTTGATTCGATTGCAAGCCTCAAATTTACTTTGGATGATGCTGGTAATCCTGAAAAGAAAGCATTGGGAATGCATGCTAAAGATAAAGAATATGTGGATTTTGTGGAATGTTGTGATTGTTCTGGTCCAGTAAGTATCAACATTTCTTTTTCTCTTTCTCCTATCAAGGCTGCTTGAGAAGTACTAAATAGGATGATTATTTATTTAATTAATTATCATGTTAAAATAACAGACTATCACCAAATTGAAGAAGGTTTTTATGTATTGTTTACTGTGAGTTGGAATTGATTTTCTAAATTATTTTTTTCACTATTTTATCCATACAACCACACACTTGCTTGAAGTGGTTTTTAAAAATTTACCCATAGAAGCTTATAATTAGGGGGCAGATTTTTATGATCTAAAACATCACCAAAAATGATCAATAAAATGTTTTTAAAATGTTGGAAAAATGCCTCAAAAGCGAAGACAAGTTAGATTTCATACAACAGCTGGCATTACAATTTCTGAGCGAAGATATTCTCAGGAATTCTGTTCAGAACATTTTCTGCTTTTTGTAAATACCGTTTTTACAAGAACGTAAGTTGAACTCGAATATAAGACGACCCCCTAATATTGAAGAGGCCTCATGAAAGTTTTAGCTAATTCTTACTATTTAGTCAAAAAAAAAATTACAAAATGTCTTATTGACCAGAAAATTGCCTTGTTAATGATGATGAGAATATTAACAGTTATTGCTGAACTATTATATTCTTGTTCCGTAATATCATTATAATCACAGTTTTTGTTACTACCCTCATCATCTTCACATGCATCAGTGTGTTTCTTTTTGGTCCTACTTCCTTGCTATGACATTTTCTGACTTTTTATGTCCCTCTTGAATGTTTCGCGAACTAAATTTTACCTTGTTCATAGTCTTTCATCAGATGCCATCTAAGAACATTCCCTTCTGTCGCCACTAATCCCGCACTTGTTGATGGCCTCTGTTTCTGTTCAAAACGCAGATTCGCACTCGCCGGGTGTCGAACCGAGATTCCGAGCGGCCTTGTCGAACATCATGTAACAAACTCTCGGTATTCATTTTCTCTTTACGTTTCATTTAATACAATGTTATTTGGTTAGAGATTCTCTTAAACAGCCTATTCAAAAATATTGGTCTGAATTTTCCCGAAAATACGAACGCAAATGTAATTACGAATTTAAGCATATAATTTTACCGGCATCGCAGTTTATTGTTACGTCAACATGTAATACGAGTTTCGTGACAGGGCATGGCAATGTAAAAACTTCAATCCTAACCGACTAAGCTTAATCTGCAGATATAAGACTACCCTGCATTTTTCGACTGATATATTTCAGAAGAAAACCTCATACGGGTAAATACAGCACTATTTATACTACTAAAATTATATTAAAATCAATTAAATCAGTAGTAAATGCTTTCAAAATTATGAAAAAGGTAAAAAAACGACTTATTATTCGAAATTGACGAAAAATGAAGAAGAAAAACACAAAAAATGGGTCATTGCTTTTTGTCATAGCATAAATTTAAAGTCTGTACTAAAAGCCATTGTTCTAAAGTAAAAAGAAAAAAAAATCATTAAAATCTGCCCCTCACTTATAATGATTTAAGTTAAAATTATTCTGTTGTTGGTGTTCCTATAGGTTTTTATAAAGTTCAGATTTTAAAGTCTTGAACTCTTGTCAATTTTGAGTAGTAGTATTGATTTTCCCTTTCTTCAATGTGTTAAAAAAAAATTTACCTTACATTTAGTGTATCTTTTTGCATTAGTTTTTTATTGATTAAAATCAACACTATGTCGTAGAGAGTGAAAATTATTTTAACTCCTGAAGAATATTTAGCGTTGCTCCCAATGCTCCCCATGGGTGACGAGACTTCCTAAACTGAACAAATGAAATGATAAACCACTTCTCTCTTTGGCCTAGAATGATCACTTAAGAGCAACTTATGAGGACATTAATAATGTTAATAAAATATTATTTTTAGCCTGAGATTAAATAACACTTTAGCCAGTGGATTTACGCTTATTCACTTAGGACTCGATGCCTTTCCTGCAAGAGTAGCATAGCTCTATTTTATCCTTTGTTACATGAATAATTATTCAAGCATTTTTATTAATGCACTTTGTTTATTAGGTTGAAGTTTGGCTCAACAGGCTTCAGTCCACAATGAGAAAGACAATATTGCACTATATCGGTGAAGGTACTACAACATATGTGGAAAAGCCAAGAGATCAATGGCTGTTTGATTATCCAGCCCAGGCATCATTGTGTGGGACACAGATTTGGTGGTGTACTGAAGTAGATCTAGCTTTTTCACATCTAGAAGAAGGGTATGAAAATGCTCTTAAGGATTATCAGAAGAAACAAGTATGAAAAAATTTATTTTTAACCCCTCTAGTTTCCATCAAAATTTAGAAATTTGTTAAGCACATGTTAACACACAATTTGGGATATTTTACTTTCTCAAATAGATAGTGTAGAAACAGTTACTTAGTTCAGCAAAGCAATGGTGTAGATTTTGATGGAAATACACATTTTGGAACTCTTCAATAAAAAAAATTATTAATTTTCTTTTTAATTTTATAAATGTTTTATTACATGTGTCCATCTTCCCAAAGCTAGCAACTTCAACATTTACAGAGTATTCACCAAAAGCACCTAGATTAATTGCAAAATTTTCTCACAACTGCTTTCAAATTTTTCTCCTGTAATAAAGTAAAGTTTGCCAGTCAGGTGGCTGAGATCATTAGGGTAGTAGTGCTGTAGTGGTCTCAGGCCAGAAGACCATGGGTTCAAGTCCTGCCTCAGGCATGGATGTGTCTGTCATTTGTGTATGTCTATATGTGTGTGCCGTCCTTTCACCCCTCACAATCATAATTACCTCATCATCCATACCCCCAGGACTAACAACCTTGGGGGATAAAAATCAGGATTCAGCTAAAAGTGCTGATCCTCAAATAATCGTACTTGCACCTGCTAAAGCACAATGCATATGTGATCCAAGTTGGCCTATTCACCAAAAAACACAAAAAAGAAAAACAGGTCCAATGTATATTAAAAACCCCAGAAAATTTAAAACTTGCAAAAATTAAAAATGATTGGGTCCTCCTCCTACAACTAAATTAATAAAGATGGAGATTTTTCTTTCATGAAATATGTTCTTCAAGATTAGATCTTCAGATTACATCATTTACAATTTTTTCCAATTTTGAGTCCTTTTTGTATAATTTTGAATGTAATTGTGACAACAACAAGAAATGGATTTTGTGCTAAATGGCTAGTTTTGCTTTCAATTATTTGCTCAGAGTGAAGTGTTCTTTTAAATATGATATGGGTTTGATCATCATCAAGGTATTGAGGTTCCATTTCCAGTCAATGATCAGTTTAGTTTGACTTGAGGACCTAGTCCATTCCATGTAAAAACAACCCACACCGCTATGGAGCTACCACCAGCTTGCAGTCTTGATGACAACTTGGGTCCATGGCTTTGTAGGATCTCTGCCACACTGGAACCCTTCAATCATCACTTATTAACTGAAATCAGAACTCATCTGACCAAGTGTCGGTTTTCCAGCCATCTAGGGTCCAATAGATATGAACATAAGTCCAGGAGAGGTGGTGTAAGCGATGTTGTGCTGTTTATCAAAGTCACTCAAATCAACCTTCTGTTGCCATTGGCCATTAAAGCCAAATTTTGCTGCACTAACTAAATGGATATGCTCGTTTTACATTCCACATTGATTTCTGTGGTTATTTCACAGAGTGTTGCTTGTCTATTCAAACTTACAACTATGTAAACGCTGATATTCTTGGTCATTAAGAGAAGGTCATCAGCCACTGCTTTGCCTGTGGTAAGATGTTTTGCCTGAAATTAGGTATTCTCAGCACACTCTTGACACTGTGGGTATTGAATTGCCAAACGATGTCTAAAATGGAATATTCCAGGTCTCTAGTTCCAACTACTATTCCACATTTGAAGAATGTTAATTACTGTTGTGTGGCCATAATCATGTCAGAAACATTTTCACATGAATCACTTGAGTACAAATGAAAGCTCTGATAATGCACTACCCTCTTATACCTTTTGTATGTGATACTATTGTCACCTGTATATTTGCATATTGCTATCACATTTTGTTTGTCAATTCAGTATACATCATTGTGAATTTTGGAAAGTGAATTTATTATCAATTTTACACAATCTGCATTGTATTTTCAGATATCACAGTTAAGTACTTTAATTCTCTTGCTAATTGGAGAACTCTCTAAGCAAGATCGGCAAAAAATTATGACCATTTGCACAATTGATGTCCATTCACGTGATGTTGTTGCAAAACTCATACATTCAAAAATTGATACTGGCAAAGCATTTGAATGGCAATCTCAACTGAGACACAGGTAAATGAGCTTCATTTAAAACTAAAAGCTTGAAGAAAATTTTTAGTAATGGAATTATTTCTTAAGTTGTGGAAAAAGATTAGCTCTCTGCATGTTTTCATTTTTTGTTAATGAAGAATAAAATTAAAGAAAAAATAAAATAATTAAAATTAAAGAATATAATTATGAACAAAATTCATTGGACTTTATGAATGTCTTTATTCTGAAGGCTTTTATTTTATTGAAATATCAATTGAATTGAAGAATTAATATATAAATGTGTTTGCATTTTCAGATGGGATGAAAAAGAATATGATTGCTTTGCAAACATATGTGATGCAGAGGTTCGTTACTGTCATGAATATCTGGGCAACACTCCTCGCCTTGTGATAACACCCCTCACTGATCGGTGCTATATTACTCTCACACAAGTAATTTTTATTTTACATTCATTATTTCTTACAATGGTCTTTGATCAAAGAATTTATAATATTTATTCCCTGTTGTACAAAGTGAATTGTTGTCTTGTTTTTATGATAAGTTTCATTTATAATTTCATTTTGCCATTTACACTTTCTTCAAGGACAATATAAATTATGTAATTTTTTTCTAACATGCTACACTAATTATGAGCACTTTCAAAATATTATTTTCTTCAAACTTCAATTACAAGACAATAATAATTGTGATAAGTTAATAAGTTTGCTCGAAAGGTTCTGTTATGACCGTTTCACCGGTTTAGAAATCTTCAGAAATAATAATTTAAAAGAAGATTCATTTAAAACTTTTTTCCCTATCCAAATGTAATGAAAGATATTAATAATGAATAATAGTGTGTTTTTTGTTCACTATTTGTCTGACAGCCTTGCTGCTTTATTTTCCATTGATGCTATCTTACACGGGGAGGGGCGTTCCTACAACAATCATGGGGGGTCCGAAAGTCTGTGAATTTGCCAAAACAAAGTCTCTTTTATAAGTTTATTATAATTAAAAATTAATTATTTAAGTTTATCTTTTCATTGATTCGTGTTTTATGTGATGCTAAGGTTCATATTCATTGAAGGAAAGTTTTTTGACAGTTAGAAAAGTTATGCCCAAAAAGTTAACATCATCTACCAAGGATTCATATCCCCAATAATAATCCCTTTCAATTTTCCTTCTATATGGCCAGTTAACAATGATTTGAACTCTTTGTTTTCTTTGAAATTATTGTATTCTAAAAATTTCAAAATTTAATTTTCAAACACTCAATATACTTCATGTATGATAACAAAATATTATCCTATAGAATCTCAGAAGGTACCGTGGAGTTCAATTAGTCAAACTTTGAGTCAATTGTAAGGTCTATTCTAGATATATTCTAGGTATATTTGAAATTGTTAATTCATGTAATATTCACATTAAAATCTTGGGATAGACATGAAAATAAAGGAAAAGTCAAACGACTGTATATAAAAATATAAACTAATTTGTTTTTTTATTACTTTTGCAATGCTTTGACTCAATGATTTTGTGGCCTTCTTCAGGAATATCAAAACCTTCAAAAGTTTGTTAATAACATCTAGTTAGCTGTCTGAGAGGTGCTGCATCCTAAGCATTGATGCCAATGTTCCCGCTGTCATGTTGTGACTTCCTTCAGGGTATTTCGCCCTCCTAGGGCCTTGGCCTCCTGGACTCTCTGTCCCTGACAGCCAAGTAGATTCTGGCTTCAGCCACTGAAGCTTACCTGTTCATGAGGTTAACAATACATTAAAATTCACTAGAAATTAGTTTAATATGATAAAAATATATTTAATCCGTAATGAAGTTTATTCTAATCTGTATTAAAATCCTCATTGAAATCTCTAAGGCTATTAAATTCTCTAACTCAAAATTATGAGCTTTTGCCTCTGTGGTGATATAAATTATATTGAGGTTAATTAGAACTGTGTGAATTAAACATGAATTAAGTGATAAATACTTCTACAAGTTCTCCTTAATTATTAACTTCAATGTTCCATGTGATTTCTTAATCAGATGAATATTGTGTTATTTTCCTGTCATCATATTAATAATGGATTTTAACACATAATGCATTTAACATCAGTGTCAGGTACATAATTAATGGGTTTATTGAATGCTTATTTTGATTAATACTTCTACAATTTCCTGTGATTTATAATTTCATCTGATTTCTTAATGAGATGATAGTTGTATTATTTATTGTCATCATATTAATAATGGATTTTAGACACATAATGGATTTAACCTTATTGATTCAATCAGATTTCACTAGACAAATTCTATTGTGAATATGTGTTGTTATTTTTTAAGCAAACAAAAAATATTGTGTTATTATTTCTGAAATACTTAGGAGTAGGGTGTCCAAACTGATATTGTCCCCCTTCCCCTTAAATACTGTTTTGATCTGTCACTGAATGTTTATAAGAATAAGCATTCCTATCTATTGTTTACATATTTGTCATGAATTAGTTGTGTTGCCTGCAAATCCTGCAGTGCCTGGATATTTATTCACAATCAAACATTAGAAAGGAAAAGGAATGAGTTTTATGTATGGCCCTCACCCAACATGGCCTGGTCTTTGCTTTTTATATCACAACCATATGAGATTATAAAAATACATTTATTTTCCAAATTACAGACACTTCAATTTTAGTTGTATAGATGAAAAAAGCTTGAATCAAAGATAATTGAGTTTCATATGAGAAAAATGTTGTGTCTCACTTTGCTTCTTAATGTCTTCTATCAGTCTCTGCATCTCATTATGGGGGGTGCTCCACAAGGGCCTGCTGGAACTGGAAAAACTGAAACAACCAAAGACTTAGGCCGAGCTCTTGGTATTATGGTGTATGTATTCAATTGCTCAGAGCAGATGGATTATCAGGTACTTATGTGTATTTGTCTCTGAAAACAGCCTGCATTGTTTATGAATCTGACATGCAATATGATTGATTTCACACCTTTGTGTTTTAGTCTTGTGGAAATATATACAAGGGTCTTGCTCAATCTGGTGCATGGGGATGCTTTGATGAATTCAACAGGATCACAGTTGAGGTGCTGTCTGTTGTTGCTGTTCAAGTGAAGTCAGTATTGGTCAGTATTGACATAAATTAACTCTGAAATTTCCTACTCATGACTCCTGTTTACTGTCAATTTTTATTAACTTGTGAATTACAGGATGCAATAAGAGATAAAAAAAAGACATTTAATTTTATGGGAGATGAAATTGCATTGACACCATCTGTTGGAATATTCATTACAATGAATCCAGGTTATGCAGGTCGGACTGAGCTTCCTGAGAACCTCAAAGCCCTTTTTAGGTACTAGTGAAATATGTTTCCTTCCAGTTCCTTCATATTTATAATGAAATATGGTATTTTTGAAGTGATTATTTTGCAGACCTTGTGCTATGTGTGTACCAGATTTTGAATTGATATGCGAAATCATGTTAGTTGCGGAAGGGTTCCAGGAAGCAAGAACATTAGCTCGCAAGTTCATCACTCTATATACTTTGTGTAAAGAATTGCTTTCAAAACAAGATCATTATGACTGGGGTTTGAGAGCAATTAAATCTGTGTTGGTCGTCGCTGGTTCATTAAAGGTATGTAGAGAAGATTACTCTGTAATTCTTCAAATTTGTCTTTTTTTTTTAATCTCTCTTAAATTGGTTCAAATTTCATCTTACATAACCACCCTTGGAACTAATCATACAATTTTATTAGGGAAAAGACCCCAAAATTAGTTCTGGAAAAGAAAACGGTTCCTTGAGCAGTGGCACTGAGAACACGTGCAGATATTCCATTCTGCTTGCTACTCTTCTTTCTGGCTGTATTTTGTTGTCTCTGAGCAGTTAGTAATAATTTGTTTTTATTCTTGAAGAGGGTAATTTTGAATGCAGCTTTTTGCTAAATAGAAATTAGTAATGGTTTCAGGCAATTAGGTAAACAAATAGATGTAATTTACTCAAATAGTCCCATATAACAGGGGGTCAATTGCACACTAGGTCTAATATGTCAATGTGTCAGAGGGTCTATGAGACACAAGGTCCATTGACATGAAGATTAAAATTAGAAGGTCCAATTACATAAATTGATACACAAGAGATGTAATAGATATCCTGTCTGTCAATGTGTACTGGCACAACATCCTTTGTTGGGCCCAAGGCCTACCAACAGCATCCTGGCCCTGCAGCCATGGGTTAAGGGGTACATTATGGTATGGCATGGTTAGCACTTAGACATCCCTACACCATATTCTTGGGTCCTCAACTTAAGACATGAGCTTTCTCATCCCACAACTAATTTGACCTGGGATTGCATCATGGAAAGTGAGGACGCTGACCAGTGAGCTATCCGTGGGGGTCCTAATAGGTATACACCAAAAGTTAAAAATTTGAGTACACAATGACTACACTTACCATTTTCAAATTAGAAACATTACTATTAATAGAATACTTGTAGAATAGTTCACTAAAAAATGCTGCTGTCAAATGTTGAAAATGGGGCCTAGAGCAGTTCAAAATCAACATGTGTGAATACTGAAGCTTCTTTCTTTCTCCTTGCATGACATCAGATGTGCCATAAACACAATATGAGAATAAGTAAAACCATAAATATAAGAATTCAGTCAGTAGGTTTAGTATGAGAGGTAGGAATAGCACAATCAAATATTTGCATTTTGCAGTAAAAAACCCAACTGTTTTATTGCTTTTTAATTTATCCTGAGTTCCTGAATAACTAATAAAATCATAGTCGCCTCTTCCATGGCCACAGGTTGATCGATTTTCTGTCAATTTAAGTGTATGTTAGAAATGAGTAAACCAGTTTAGGTGGCTAATTGATTTCACTGCAGTGCCTCTGACCTAGAGGTCCTAGGATTCGAGTCTTGATAGTAACATGACTTTTGACACTAGATAGATAGCTGGATTGAGTTCAGCCATTGTCTAATAAAGAATTCTTGTGGCTGGCTCCTCTGCTTGGTAGTTTTCCATGGTTTCATTGATCAACATTAGGCAAATGCTGGTGCAGTACCCTAACAAATAGACAATGGACCACATGCAATTTATCCTTCCTCTTCCTTGTTCTATTCTCACCACTTACACATAAACATACTTACACTTACATGCACTACTCCACCCAAAAATGTCAGGAGCTTGGAGCGTGTTCCAGCTGGTGGCAAATGTCAGGTTGGGGAAAAGCCTGCAAGCCGACTTGTAGGTCAGCTCCAGATCTCACCATCCAGTGGGAGAAGACTACCTACTCCCACTATAAAAACATGCACTACACTCACAGGACTAATTGACTCACCTGGAATCACTAATTAATCAATCAATCAATAAAGATATTGAAGTTGCTTATGGAAATGAGCTTGTAATGTAAATTTTATTACAAATAGTATATCAATGCATACCAGTCTTGGATCTTGTCTACAATTTTAGACTCTGCCAATGAGTTTTAACACCTTTTTCTTATTATATGTGTTTTGTACTTTATGAATTATTCATTACTCATTACTCTATATTGTGGTTTCAATTTAGAGATGATAATATATTGACATAATTATAATTTTTTTTTCTTTTTCTTTGAATGATACTAATTTACCAGCAGAAAAAATATATTTTAGTGTGACTTATTGTAGGGTAACTAAAAGTTCTTTGTGTATGATTTCAGCGTGGGGATCCTGGAAGAGCTGAGGAGCAAGTGTTGATGAGAGCTTTAAGAGACTTCAATATTCCTAAAATAGTATCGGATGATGTCCCTGTTTTTATGGGACTTATAGGAGATTTATTTCCTGCATTAGATGTTCCAAGGAAGAGAGACTTAGAATTTGAAAGAACAGTGAAACAAGCAGCAGCTGAATTAAATCTACAGCCCGAAGATAATTTTATTTTGAAAGTTTGTTTTTGTCATTTATAGTTTGATCATGATGTTCAAAAACTTTTTAAAATTGTAATATACAGATTTTGGACCTGGGACATTCTATTCTATTTCTTTTAAAGGTAGTTCAACTGGAAGAATTATTGGAAGTACGCCACTCAGTATTTGTTGTGGGCACTGCTGGAGCTGGAAAAACTCAAGTGTGGAAAACCTTGTTTAGAGCTTACAAAAATATGAAACGCAAGCCAGTTTTTGATGATTTAAATCCTAAGGCAGTTACTAATGATGAATTGTTTGGGATTATTAATCCCAGTACCAGAGAATGGAAAGATGGTTAGTAGAACATAATCTTGTTAGGTGCTATTGAGAGTTTTGGTACCCTCCAATAGTCTGTTTTAACAAAATGGAAATTGATTCCATATATGTATCATAAAGGAGTCATGCAGTATATGTGATTTAAGTATTATTATATGAATCCTCATAATTTAACTGTTTTTAAAAATTTTTGTTGTTATTCTTATCATCATCATTGATGTTGCCATCACCATTGTCATTGTCATCGTCATTGTCATCATCATCATGTAAAGAATGGTTTTAACAAGTGTTTCTAAGTAATCATAAAATTCTCATTAAAGGAATGACATACCCTCTCTCTTCATGTCAATTCACTAATAGTTATAAATTAATTTCCAAAGGTCTTACTTGTACCTGCTGACTCCTTTACTCACTTCATTACCTTAAAGTCAAGGAGATGAGTTGAGATGACAGAAGTTTAATATTTTTGCGTGTGCTTGTTAATCATAAATGATTCTTATTTTTTGGCACTCAATTTAAACTTAACCATGTTTTGAATAACTTTAATGATAGTTGGAAAATATGAACACATTTTTATACAAACTTAAATCTATTTTTTCCCAGGATTATTTTCAGTAATAATGAGAGATCAGGCTTCTCTTTCTGGTGACAATCCAAAATGGATCATTCTGGATGGGGACATAGATCCAATGTGGATTGAATCTCTGAACACTGTAATGGATGATAACAAAGTATGTATTGAAGTTGTTCTTTTATACTCCAATACCTTTTTTTTTTTGCTTACCACCATTACTGAGCTAGTGTTCCTACATGAAAAGTACAATAGATCAGTGGTGCAAGTTCAACAGAGGAGGCCTTTGGACCGGCACTATATGGAGGCCACCCTAATTATGGACATGTCATTAATTTAATTTCATGACTATAAACTAAATTTTAGGAGTGAAAAATGTATTACAATAAACTATTAAAGATTATAAATGATCATTTTTGCAATTCATTGTATAATTTAAAATCTAAATTTTGGCCTTTTTTTTTTTTGCCAATTTTACAATAACAGTAAGAATATTATTTTACAACCAGATTTTGTGTGTGTGTGTGTGTGTGTGTGTGTGT